TCGGATGCTGCAGCGAGGAGCTAGACAAGTTGCTAGATTTGCCCAGATTGGCTATTTCTGCTCAAACTGTTTCAGGGCGGTATCGCGTCGGGCGGTGGGCTCTGCTGTAGCTTCTGCTCCCCGCTGTAGCTCCACAACGAGAGACTCCCACAGGATGACCAGGGTAGCGGCTTGAAGCTACGGGCTAGCCCTTCAATTCAAGCTACACAGCAAGCTCCACCTCTCAGTGGTAGTCCGGCTACAGCGTATCGCGCAATCTCGCTCTCAATCAGATGCTACGCTCTCAATCAGGCGAATATGTTGTTCTCTATACATTCGAGATATGACACCGGGGTGTTCATGCTTTCTCATGAGTAAACCCGAAAAAAAACGATAATCCAGCAACAGTCCACAGATAAATGATGAGGATGAAGTGGCACGTTACTATAACATTGTGCATATCATCGATGCAAATCCGCACCAACACCTGGATTGCGGTGTCATCATGAACGGTCACGCGCATCGTATCCACCCTGCTCATCAGTGTCTCAGATCTAATGAAGAGGAAAAGAAGGCGAGGAGGTCGAGGTTTGCTTGTGGGTGAAGGGTGGGATCATGGCGGCGGCAAATCGGCTTCGGAGGGGCTCTGGCAACGGGAGAATTTCCTCTTGTTTGGTTCCTGATGAGGTCGATGCTGTGCGTGCGCGGATTCGATGGAATAGGTTTGTTTTTACCATAAACAGGTGCCCAACGACAACCAACCCTAGCTCAAACCGATAGCACAGGATCGACCGGTGTACCTGGGGTGATAACGAAGACGTTTTTCGGGTTGTTGTTCATCCGGTTAACATCCTTGCCACGGCGCCCCCAAGGAAAGAGGCCGGGAACGTTTTCGTTGCTATTGGGGTAGTAGGTATTTGCTATCGCTGTGGAGACAAGGGGTAAAATCTAACGCCGCCTGTCAAGGACGATTCCCCTCTGTTCACATTGATTGGCGACGGAGAAGCGATATTTCAATATTCTCTTCGTCGACGCCAAACAAACGTGAAAAGAGGGAACCGTCCTCGACAGATGCTGGGAACTGTACCGTCCCTGAAGGTGATCTCCACATCGCCACCACTGCCAACATCTTGAAAACTCTGCCGATGACCAAAACCGAAACAACAAGTGAAAAGCGAGATAAAAAAACGGGTTCTAACCAAGACCGGCCTTACCTAAAGCATTTCACACCGCTATCACCCCAATCAACCAGTGCACCATCATGATCTCCTCGCTCTACCCCGGCCGTTGGAGGCTTCGTATAACTCCAGAAAAACTGTATGGAAGCGCCATCACCAAGGGCCTGAATCTACCCCGCCGACATATAAATGTCCCTCCTAATTGCGCAACAAAACCAAGCGCGAAATGAGGGCCACAACAGGGACGTTTAAACAGCAAATTGTTCGTTTCACCAACAGGCCGTTTTTTCTCTTCATTTCGGCTGAGGGAGGCCCTTGGCTGAGTAGAAGATGTCTACGATCACCTACCAGGGAAGGTAGCTTGATTCATTGGCCAACGTTTAAACTCCCCCCCATGAGTGAGGCGCCTGAGAAGAGGTGGAAAAAGTACAGGGCCAAGAGAAACCAGGTGAAGGGACCAGTGAAAAAGAAGAAAAGTGCATTTGGGACGAAGTAGTGCAGAAGGCCAACGAAGGCCTGGAGGGGAACGTCAAGCAGATGTGGGAAGGCACTAGTGGAATGGTAAAAAAGACCGCGCAAGGGGGGGTACAGGGGTAGCAACTTTACGAGGTGCGGTGANGCATTTGGGACGAAGTGGTGCAGAAGGCCAACGAAGGCCTGGAGGGGAACGTCAAGCAGATGTGGGAAGGCACTAGTGGAATGGTAAAAAAGACCGCGCAAGGGGGGGTACAGGGGTAGCAACTTTACGAGGTGCGGTGAATTAGTCAGCAGTGGGAAGGGAAAAAGGGAAGTTCTAGCAGAACACTACAAGAGATTTGGAGTTCCCTCGGAGAATGAAGCATTCGACCAAGTGTTTAAGAAGGAGGCGGACGCATAGGCCCAGAAAGAAGAAAAGACATCGAAGGCAGACGTTGGGAACGTAGAACTAGAAAAGGAGTTCACTGAGGTCGAGGTTGAGGCGTGTGTGAACAAGCTGAAGTAAGTGTCACGAAGCAGCAGGAGCGGATGGGATAGT